TAACCGAAATGGGCACTTCCACAGTAGCCTTATGTTAGTCACGTAAAAATCTACCAAAAACCGAGTTAAAATGTTGCATTTTTTAGTGAAATACGTAGTTAAGTACAGACTAACGTAACATTAACGTGGAATTAATATGGATTCTCCATATCGTTTGTACTGTAGAATTCACCAAACCAAATTCGCGGCATACATCAGCTTTTTTCCTTCCATTTTCTATTTCACGAATCACTTTAACTTTCTCTTCAGTGCTTAAAACTTTCCTTTTCATTGCCATGTTTTCGCTACTGCACTTCTCTGGGTTTAGGCAGGAACACTATAGGGTAAGTAGACAATGTGAGGTCCTGTTAGACGAGATTCTAGGAAAGGAATGCAGTTAACAACCTGCCGCGTCCTCTTACACTATTCACGCAGTCCCACCCCACACCCTTGTTTTCGCATAAAACCCATGCTCCTCTTGCAGCCCGCAGTCGTATTCTTCCAGGACAGTCACGTCAGCAAGTAGAGAAAGTGAGGGTGGGCAGACACATCAAACTTTCCCACGATATCAGAGAAATTCAGGAATGAAAATGACGTTACATATGAGGTTGATGCATTTGTGAATGTCGTACTAAGCAAGGTATAAAAACAGTTCCTTTATGAGGAATTAGTTCGTACCATTGAATATTTGACGCAATAGACAAGGTGTCGCAGAAACCGATGTTGCTATAACCAAGTTTTACTGTATTTGCAAAATTACAGTTTTGTATATTTTAATTATTATATATTTAGACATCAGACAAGAAGATAGAACTTCTGGACTGAATCGTTGCAAGCATTATGCAAATTCAATCTCTGCATAATTTTTCTCTTGAATCGATTCTGATTTGTTACTGTTGCTCCAAAATATTTGAACTGTGTCACATTTTCAAGTGATCTGTTAGCTATCTTTGTGTCATGATTGTGCCTGACATTCTGGTGATGAGTACAGCTAGGATTTTTATGCAGTATCATGGAAAATATGTACACAATTAACTAACTTCATGATGCTGAGCTGTTCTTGAGAAGCCACCAATTGTGCAGCTACTCGAGAATTTCCAAGCATTTTATGGAACGCAAAGGCACACTGTCATGTTCACAACAGCCCTTCATTGGTTCCTATCCTCAGCCAGATCAATCCAGTCCATACCACCCCATCCTATCTCTCTAAGATCCATTCAACATTGACCACCCACCTATGTCTTGGTCTTCCTAATGGTATCTTTCCCTCTGGCCTTCCCACCAATATACAGTACACATTCCTCTTCACCCCACTTGTGCTACATGCCTTGCCCATTCTAATTATACTTGATGAAGACTAAAAGTTTTGAAGCTCCTCAGTATGCAGTTTTCTCCAACCTCCTGTCACTTCATCTCTCTTTGGTCCAAATATTTTCCTCAGCACCCTGTTCTCAAACACCCTCAGTTTATGTTCCTCTGTTAATGTCACAGACCAAGTTTCACACCCATACAGAACAACAGGCAAAAAGGCAG